AGGACTCAGGAAGTCACAAGAACACATTTCTAGGGCTCACCAGACTTGCTATGGTCACAGCACCAGTAATATGCTATAGACGTGCCTTGTGTGCTCATGATGGATCAGGTACCCTCCACCCCAGCCTTTAAGAAACTGTATCCTGGCATCATGAAGAATGTATAAACAAGAAAACCAATACATCACTCTGGGAGTGTTGTAACAGCATACCCAAAAGATGCTAGGGGTGGGGCAGAGTGTTGGAAGAAGGCATACCTCCTCTATCAGGGCATTATAGTGGTTCTTTTCAAATCCACAAAATCCAAAAGCAAGGCTGATTAGCTGACATGGGGCATGGGATGGAGGCCAACTCTAGATCACGGGGCTGTGTATGGCTACACAGGCATTGAAGATCATTGGAACTCACTCTCACTGCCCTACCACAGTGTTTCTCAGAGACTGGTCCAATGCCCACTGGTTGACCTCAAAAGTCTTCCTGATGCAAAAATGCAAGGGCTTTCCTCAGTTCCTTTTTTTTTTTCCTTTTTAAAATTTAAATTCAATTAATTAACATGTAATGTACTATGAGTTTCAGAGGTAGAGGTCAGTGATTCATCAGTTTTCTTTAATACCCACTGCTCATTACATCAGGAGCCCTCCTTCATGCCCGTCACCCAGTTACCTCATCCCCCCACACCCATCCCCTCCAGCAACCCTCAGTTTGTTTCCTAGAGTTTAGAGTCTCTTATGGTTTGTCTCCCTCTGTGATACTTTCCTCAGTTCTTAATGGCAAATAGGGATTAAGTCCATAGTTTTTCCACTTACATGCATGGCCAAAAGCTATTAAGTAAGTTATTAAGAATCACTAAATTTCACATCTTTCTGAAAGCCTGGTGTAGTGGGTAAGCAGTAAGGCTGGCTGACACAACATGTGGGCAGGCCACAATGGCTACCACAGAGAGTGAGAATTCCTGCAACCTCAGAATGAGTTTCTTTCTATGGCTTCATCAGTCCAAGGACTTTGGATTGCTGCTCTTTTATGCTCATTAATGTAACTGTAGGCTTATTCTTAGGGTTTACCCTTGTTAATCAGTTTTTTTAAACTGCTGCATGGCTAACACTTAAATACTTATTTTCTCTCTAATTCTTTGTTATCACTGAGTTCTTTTGCTGCTGGAAAAAAGACAAGAGATGGTATGGGCTGGTCATAGGATCTTGTTTTGTTCTGTTCCAGAAGGTTAATGATACTGCCCTAGAGGAGCTGTTTGATTTCACTAGGCTTGTCTATTAATCATTTTCTGGACATTCCATAAGTCCAGAAGCTAATTCCCAGCATCTGTTAGACTATTCCATTCCCACCACCTCCTTCAAACTGTCCCTGAACCAAAATCATCATGAGTTTCCCCTGTCATAAATCATAACACTGGTTATCTTTACTGCCTACTTAGGGGATCATAAACAGCCATTGGTGCTCTTGAATCACTGAGCTGCTGTCTAATTCTTTTTTTTTTTAAGATTTTATTTTCTTACTTTTGAGAGAAAGAGAGAGAGAGAGAGAGAGAGAGAAAGGGAGCATCCAACTCCCCACTGAACAAGGAGCCCAACATGGGGCTTGATCCCAGGACTCTGAAATTATGACCTGAGCAGAAGGCAGATGGTTAACCAACTGAGCCACCCAGGTGCCCCCACTGTCTAATTCTTTAAATTGCCTGTTTTATCTTTCCACCAAGATCGAAGTGTCCTGAGAGCAGACACCAAGTATGACCTCTATATATCTTAGCACAGAATGAAGCAAATGCCCATGGCATAGAAGCTAGTCATAAAGGTTCTTTACAGGGCCCCGTAGTCTGATCTGAGGATTGAGAGGCGCAGAAATGGACACAGAGAGCTGGACACAGGCACTGGACAGTCCTCTTGGTTCCCCACATCCCTATCTATGAAGTCTGAGGTGGCATTGCTGTAGCTACAAGCAAACAATGGTGTCTTCTGACTATAAACATGGGGGATTCCTGATCAATCAGCAGACAATAGGCATGGGAGTGTTGGAGGGCTCTTAGTTTTCAGACATTGCCGCTGGCCCTGTCTCTTCATCTGACCTTGCTTAAATTACCATCTGGCCGCCTTAAATCACAGCCAGGAGAATCCCAAGAGGTACATGACTGAACACCCTACCTGCCCCATGCCCTTACCAGCCTGGATTAGGGTACCATTTGGGATACTACCGTGTCTCTTGGTCTTGACTCAGTACATGCTGTCCTTGTGTAGTCTGGATCCAGTTCCCAATTGGGTCCAACCCCTAAGTCCTTTGCCAAAAACCATGATTCCCAATCCCTAACTGGCTAGTCGCTGTCTTTTTGGTTCTTGTTCCATTTTTAACCAATTTTTAACCAATTTCCATGAACAATTCTAGCCATTGCACAGGGCATGGAAAGAATCTGAAATCCCATTTAAAGGGAGTCACTAATCTCAGCTGGAAGGACATGCTGGCCCATATTATTTGTTGAATTACTGTAATAGTTATAACCTGGACTTTGAGCCTTGGGTTGCATGATATTCACAGTGTGTGATACTATGGACTTACTCAAACTTCAGACAACAATCTGTTTGATCAAATCATTGAACAGGACATGGTGAGGGTAGGTGACAAAGTGGTGGCCCAAGAAGGAGGAAATCAATCCAACCAGTAAGGGGCTACATGATGGCTGGTCCAGGATATTTTCTGCTTAGGAGTCGACTGAATCGATCAATGTTTAAAAAAATGCTCTCCCTCTATGACTACAAACCATGACCATGGAAGTCTCAAAATCTGACATAATTGCAGGAGAAGAATTGATAGGTCAAAAGCAAACCAGCCTAATACCTCTCCTACAAGAAATAAAGATCATTCCTTGGCTTAAAACAATGACGGTGCTCATTTGGAATTCGGATCAATTACCCTGACAATGTAGGGTAAGAGTAAGGAAAAATAAGCCTCTCTGAGTGGTTTCACCTTAATAGAGTTTGTTTGGAAAAGAAGGATCATTAAAGTCCTCTCTGAAAAAACGAAGGAACAAAAACTTATCCTGGGTATTCTCTGATATTTTATCGAGTTGGTATTGTTCCCCATTCCTGTAATCGCTGCCAAATAACACTATAAGATCCTCTCTGAGCTCATTTTAAAACCACATTCCTTTGAATCTTCAAAACCATGTTCTTCTGAAACTGTAACTGGGGTTAAATTTAGGTCGACATGGATTTCATAAAAGCAAAATCCTTTAAAGTTTACATTACAGATTCATGTGTCTAACTGGCCTTGGTTGGGCGAGGATAATAAATACTACAGAACATTAATTTCCCTTCCCTGGGCTTTCTCATAGCTAAATTCTGCAGTTTCGTCCCAAGCCTATTGGAGTATTTTACCCCAGCTTGGCTATATGAGCAGGACTGAGTGCCATGAGTTTCATCATCAGTTTGTTTCATTCTGTCATAAATAATAACAAGTGCATGTAGCCACACTTCAGGTCACTTCCTGCTGGCGTCACTTTGTCCCTGACCAGGTTCCTGGGATTCATTCTTACAGTCAGAGAATCCACGGTATTTTATCCTTACCCGTTTGTTCTTTTACGGAACTGTGCTGAAAACTCTAGGTACTGTTGTGTGATTTTTAACTCCAAACAGCTCCTCTTTCTCTGTCCTATAAAGAAATCTTTAGTGCAGAACTGACTTGCAAATGTCCTAGTAAGCCACCGTAAGTATGACACAAGTAGCATTGCCCCTACACATGGGATTCTCTCAGAGAACATTCTCTTCTCCGTTATGTCTACGGGAGAAGACACAGCAGGGCTCCAGGGCTGTGGTTACCTCTGTCTACACAGTCGGAGGATTTCAAGCTGAAGCCCACCCAGAGAGTGCCGTCCCTCTGTAACGTGCGGTGGGAGGAAGGGATGAAGTGACATAGCAAGTGAGTGACAGCACTGACTTTGAAGTCACACGCCCTCTTGAGGACTCACGACAGATGGGGAAAACCACTGGGGAAAACCACTGTTCCGTAGGATTCATCTCAAGAATGCGAGCGATAAGCAGATATTATAAGGCTTAACAGAAGCAGTGGATCCGATACTCTTGACACAGTATCTGGCATTTGGAATATGATTAATATGTTTCTCAAGCTGAGCCCGTAGCGGATGCTCAGTAAACGCTGGCTGAAGAAATGAGTCAGCTAAAGAACGAATGAAGGGGCAGTCCACCAGATAAATACCTGTTTTATGTTATCAGTAGAGATTCCTCTCTCCTAAACTTAAACCTCGCTTAAGAAAAAGAAGAAGCTGTGCATGGTGGGATTCAGTAACGTTGGATAAGGGAGATTTGCTGGCAGGGTCCCACAGGAGAGTTGGGAAGAGAGGACAGGCCAACTCCATACTCCCCCTGCTGGCAGAATTCACAGGCGTCAGGTCTGCAGATGGAGCTCAGGGCTGAGCTCTCACCAGAGGGGTCATCATTGAACAGATCCAGTAACAATGAAAACTCGTGTGGTCTGCTCTACACGCACCTGGGTTACTTGTCTCGAGGCCTGAACTGGTCTCTACCCCCTTTACACTTCCAGAACTCTGCAGCACCTTGTTCCGATGAGCCTCTCCTTGGAACTAACTCATCACTCTTTCTGGCATTTGGGTGAGGAAACCGAGGCATGGATGATGGAGGCCCTCCCTGAACCCCAAGGTCACAAACTCCTCAGGGCTCCCTCCCAAGCATCTTCCTTCTCCCAACCCTGTCCTCCCCCAGCTACAAAGGTGAGCAGAAAGGAGTTGGCAGGCAAACATCCTCGATGGCTCTCTGGCTGGTTATGAGATATGATGGGCCCCACAGCTTGGTTTTACCAGAAAACCTTTGCACCAGAAAAACTGGTCTAAACTAAAGCCCCTGGTACTTAATGAATGCTTCCAGAATTCCAGACTCCTTTTGTGGAAGGCTTCCTTAATCCATTTCACAGCAGTCTTTTTAAGTGGAAGGAAATAATTTTTCACTCACCTTCTTTCTTCCAACTACTGCTCAGCTTTGGGAACATACTTCAGTTCACTTTTGATATTCTGGATCTCTGAAAGATTGACCACAGGTCCCGGAAGTTTCTTCGCTCCAGGCATTGGCTTCTTCTCCTCATCCGAGGTAGGAGGAACACCCTGAAGAGAAAGAAAAGAAAGAAAGGATCAGCTCACTGAAAAAGGCATTTGGTCCCTGCCAAAGTGTACTTCTAGCTGCGTCACTTCTTCCTCTGCTACTGAGACACCCTCAAAGCTTCCAGAAGATCTGAAGTTTGTAGACAAATATGGAATAAAGTTGGAAGAAGAAAACAAGTAATCTCCACGTGACTTAGAAGACACAAGACTACTAGTCAACATCTGATAACTAACAAAAATTAGGCTAGTTAAGATGTGTGTTTCCAAGAGAAGCACCTTACGAGAACGAATTTAATCTGGCATCCTTGGATCCTGATATGCCTGAACAGCAGAGATCTGTACAATGTTAGCGCACAGTTGGCTCTAACAATGACTTAGTCCAGCAGCTTAAAATTTTTTCAGTGGGGGTGCTGTAGCTGCCAGCCTCTGTTCCAACATCTCTGGGAAGCATAAACAAACTGATATTGACATAAGCAAAACCTTCTTGAATGTGGGTGGCATGAGATGGAGCAACAGAGGGAGGCCCAGTTCTCCCTCCCAGCTTTGGGAACGATTTCCAATTTCCTATTAGTTAATGTTTTTATGCTGTTACCGCTTTAGGGCAGGACCACGCCCTATGCTTTTTTCTGTGGCTCCTCCAATGCCTGGTACATATGTGTGCACTTATCCATTGTTGTTTAGCTGATTAATCCCAAGAATGTACCATAAGGACAAATATATGTCTCTGTGTATGCACGCCAAACATACACATTCACAGTGACTGTAACACAACGAGCTCAGTTGCTGTGTGTGGCTCTTAGAACTCCCAAGTCATTGCTACAGAAGAAAATTGCCTATTAGCTCATTCCTCGTATGCTAGAGGTGGGGCGCTCTCTGGCCCCAGAGGGAAGGTGTTGGAGGAACACTTGATCACCGTGGCAGCCACAAGAGCACGCCTCCCCGATCAGTTTTCTCCCGGGAGGGTAGTTAAATGACTGGCCCCAGCTGCTTCGCCCTACAACCCGCCCATCACCACACTGAGGTCATACTTCCCACCGCTGCTCCTGCCCAATGACTGAGAGTCACAGGATCCTAAGGCCGGCCCGTTCCTGGGAGACAAGAGACTCCTGGGGAGGAAATTGAGCTCGAGAATTTTCCTTAGACCCACAGCGAGGTCTAAGAGGTTTCACCCTCACCCTCTGCCCTGCTCCTCTTCACCCACATCATGGGTCTAATCACACTCCCACTTTTCCTTAAAAGCAGTCTCATCAATAAACATTTTGCATGTCTAAGCCCATTGTTATGCCGGCTTCATGGAGGACCCAAACTGACACAGTCGCAGTGTGGGTCTGCCAGGGCTTCATCTGCTCAGCCAGCAACCGAGTGAACAGTACAGTTTCAGGGAAGAGGAGGAAGAAACCGCATGTTTGCCTCTGCTTCAAGCTCTTGGCCCATACTTGTTGCCAGCCTAACCAGGCAGCCCAGTGACTTGGGTATTAAAGCTAATGCTGGGCTTTGGCCCCATCTGGCTCCTAGGTCTAGTTCTCAAAATGTCTAGAACCAAAAGGGAAAAGGAAGCAACTGTTTAAGATTCCCAACCTCTAACCAGTTATGTGGTAGGCATGTCCTTTACAGAATTGTCCATTTGAGGGGCAAGTAGAAATATAAAATATTGAGGTACTGTTCTCCTAAGGACTGATGGTTTTTCCTGTGGTCATTTTCTTTGAATCTTGGCAGAGCACTGATGAAAGAGCTAATGTGTCTCCCACACAAAATGATAAAGTAATTCAGTGCAGACTGTACCTGATGTAAATATTTGGAAAACGGTACTTCCTCAGGCCAATGTACAAAGCCATAGGCTCGGCTTCCTTTTATCACGCACACACATTGATCATTTATAAATGCAGATTTAGAAGCAATCATTAAAACTATTAAATATCCACTTCGAGGACCAGGTATTCGAAAATGTTCTTTGCTAGGCTTTTGGAAAGAGGTTTGAAACAAGGCTATAAATTGGGGGTTTTTAAATACGTGTAGCAGTGAAATGAAAAATGTTTCCTCACTTATGAATGTTCCCATGGTTGTTAGGTGGGTAGATCTTAATAAAGAAGCATGAAGAAGAAAAATGTTTCTAATTCCTTCTGTTAAGTTCCTGGGTACGTCGTATTCACTGTGTTTGTAATATCAAAATGTGCTATTTTGGCACATTTAATGCGTAAAGCCAATGTGTGTAGTTATGTGTCTATGTGCAAAGACGTATTACGTGAACATACATGGATAGAGGATGATAATGTTTAATATCAGGCCCTTTCAAGTTATTAAAACCTCAGTACACTGTGTTTTTTTTAATAAGGTAAGATTTCTAGCACTTAATTTAGTATGGTCCACATATAATGGAAATTATAAGTGGATATATTCAATAAGTAGACATGTCATAGACTCGAGAAGGGGTTAATGGTGGGGCATATTCTTAACCAAATTTTCTCTCATCTTTTAAAAAAATTGGAATCCGATTCCATTTCTTCTAAAATTTATTGTAAGAATTATAATAAATAAAGGCATGAGTAAGCAGGGCTCCAGATGGCTCCATTTGGCTAATACGGAGTACATTTTTTTCTTCTGTACACAGATACTTGAATGGAGAAGGGACATGGAAGACATTCTTTGGTTGAAATAAAGAGAGCTCGAGAAAGGGCTTATCAGCCCAGGTGCCTTTACCAGTTTCAGGATGGTTGTTGTCAAGGGAAACATTCCCCTGTGGAGTGACAGAGCATTTGTAAAATTTGCCAGGATGGTGAACCTTTTTCTGCTATCTTTCCTTCATCTCCCCCTTTACTAGCAGACACTCTGCTGAGTTTTCTCCTAACCTCTCCTCTGCTCATTCATGCTTCGACACCGAGGACTTAGTATTAAAAGCAAACACTTACACTGCTAGCTGTTCTGAGTTACACATGCTAACTCATTAATCCCCACACCAACCCTATAAATCTGCTACTGTTATCCCCATTTTATAGCTGAGGAAACTGAGGCCCAAGGCAGGGTGGGAAGGAGTGAGAACCTTGCCCCTGGCCTCACAGCTAGGAAGGAGTGGGGCCAGAATTAAATAGTGTGTTTGCATCTTGTGAAAGGGACAAGCTGGAGAGGGAAATAATTAACAGAAAGCCCCAACATGCTATTTTCTGGCTTACTAATGATGGAATTATGGTCAAAATAGAGATTTGGGAGGCAGAGTGGAGTGCTTCAAGCCACTTGAAGCAAGCAGCTGCCTTGTCTTATCCAAAAGATGAGCCCTGCTTGTAAGGACTTGGCGATAAGACCTCTGTGTCGGGCACATGCCAGACTCTAGCTGGGCTGAGCAGACGGAGAGTGGGCTCCAGCTCTGTGAGCAGAGCAAAGGGCTCACAGAGACCATAGGTGGGCTGGAGACCCACCCAGTGCTCACAGGTCTTGTCAGACAGCCAGAGGCTGATCATGACTTCCTACTGGGGGACATCCTCTTCATATAAGAGACGGTGTCAGGATTAAGACCAGTGAGCTTCTGGCTATGATGGAGGTAGCCTGTTGTGTTCAGGGATGGTACGTTATGATCTCCATTTTATACAGTGATTATCTTAATGTAAGGCTAGGCAACAAATCCCAAAACTAGATACATAAACTATTCAAGGTTTGCAAACAAGATAATTTTTTTAAAGTGTGGCTGTATAAGTTATTTTTATTTCAGATTCCATTTTCCCCTCCAAACTATGGGACAAAAGGTGGCAACCCCACAAAATCCTACTTAACACACCTTGTAGCCAAGCCAGGCTGCCTAACTGGTCCCCCACAATGTTGTTTCCGTGAGAAACTTACTCCAAGGTCCAACCTAGACCTTGAGTCATTAGATCCAGCCCCTACCTAAGACCCCACGAGTCCCAAAAGCTCATTTCTGCTCTGACAGGAACGGAGTACCACCCTGAGCCTCACCCTCCCAGCCCATGATCCCCATGTGAAAGGTATAGTTCAGTTCTAGAAACACTCCCGGGGTCTCTGGGTCTCTGTGGATACCTCACTCCCTCCATCCTGTGAAGAATACTGATTAGCCAGTTGTACAAGAGGCTTATCATAAAGCAGGTGTTCACAAACAGGCCATATCAGTTCTTGTCTATTTTGGAGTGTGCTGGAACCATCAGACAAGAGTGAGAGCAACATGCTTTCCCAACCCCCTGACCGGGACACTTGGGAGGAGGAAAGTACCAGTCGCACAGAGAAGAACTGAGGGTCGTCTGTACCACAGAGGGAAGATGAGATACAAGTCTCCAAAACAACTATGACATCCAGCAGTTTAGTGAGAAAACCGGGTCAAGCTACCTCTTGACCGACGGCCATGGTAGTGACAGACACAGTTTAAGGAAGCACGGGAAGAAAAGCTAATTAAAGATAAATGGAGGTGGGGGAAGAATTTCACCGCCCTCTCTTCAACCTCCCCATGCCTTTTTCTTACAACATGCCAAATAACAGACCTGGGAGTCCATCATGAAAATGGGATAATTAGATCAATTGATGAACAATCATTTACTGAATGCTTGCTAGGCTGTGCCATGTCCGTTATATTGCTGACTCCTCTCAGCAGCCCTTTGAGGAAAAGAGTGGATCATATTTGGCAGACACAGACCCAGAAATGCTTGACCCCAGTCCCAAAGGGAAGACTCACGATCAGGAGTGAACTGGGTAGCCAGGTCAGTAGCATCAGAGTTTGAGATTATGTACCAGAAATGCAAGGTAGTGCTGGGTCTTTTCAACATGTGTGTTCAAAATCCTTATTCATCAAAGGTTACTTAGTGGCAGAAATTCCAGAACTTGGTGGTGTCACTCAAATACTCCATCTCCTTCTTTGAAAAATTATCTTTCTATTGATAGGAGGCTGAAAGTCCTGACTTAGGACTATGACAGGAATTATTTACAGGGAAGAAGGGGTTTGATGAGAGGCAACCGAAGTTTTATTAGGAAACTTTAGAATGGTGATAGTTTTTTGTTTTTTGTTTTTTGTTTTTTTTTTGCAGCTGGGGGGGCCCGCAAACACCAAAAAGGTCACCTACAAAAGTTCAAAGAAAAAAAAAGTCTTTTTAAAAAGATGAAATACAGTTGGCTATGCCCTGGTGGCCTTGTTTAATTCCATTTTCCCTGTCTTATGCGAATTGACAAGGTCCAAAACCTTTCAGAACCAGACCTTCCAGGTTTTATCAGAAAAGTCACAGTTGGTAAAGGAATGCAGACATTGGCGGGGTGGGGGGAGGGGGGGGACCCTTCTCTATTTACTGCACTTACTCATTTTAGCCTCCCTTTCAGCCAAGCGGGCATCTGAACTTGCAGGAGAGGTAAAGAATTCGAGGGAGGAAGAGAAAACAGAAAGTGATCGGCTCCTTTGCAAAGTCCTCTTTTCAAAGGAAATACCCAAAGACTGGGGCTTTTTGTTTGAATCCGCAAGTAATTTAACGTGCATATTACCTGAGCTCCCCCTGGGGTTTGTCACTCATCGGAGGCTGTACTAAAGATCCTGCTCCGTTCCGTATAAGCTCTGAGGGAAACTTACCGAGCTAGTGAATGTTGCCAGACCGAGAGCATGTGAGAGGCTAGTCTCCCTCACCAAACCCCCCTCCACACGCACACGCTTACTCAGTCAACAAACTGCATGTTAAACTCAGCATCTTCAAATAACTGTGGCAGGCACTTAAATCGCTGAAGGGAAGTGAGGAGCAGTATGTTTCATGGCTAAGAGAGCAAGACAAAGAAATGTAGATACTATGAGGTGACTCTTTGACCCACATCCATTCACACCTCCCGTGTTCTGGGGAGCTGACCCTCACCTTGCCTTTGCCCCCGCTCTAGTCAGGAGTCTGGAAGGGATGGACAGGGGGATCGCTGCCAGCTAAGTTTTCCTCACCTCCTCTGTTTCCGGAGTACACTCTTTTCTTCTGGGAGGTTGCCCAGCTCCCGGCCGAAAGGCTCCCATTGGGATGTTGATATTTGCCTAAAAGAAAAAAAGCAGGGAAGATTTTGCTCAAGAAGGGTAGGAGCTTTAAATGACACTCAGAGACCCTAATCATTACGAGGAAAAATGCATCTGAAAAGTCCATCTTTCAAGCTTTTTACCTCAAGAAAATTGCCATAAGGACAAGACAAAAATATGCAAAGGAAATTTTGACATTTATTACAAATTCCTGGAATTGATCCTTAGGTCTGAGTGGTGATTTCACAGTTCCCTGTTGGATAGAAAAATTTCGAGACAGTTTGTTCTGGCTGTTGCCCTCCTGTGGTGCTTAATATTTTCCTCTCCCGCAGATGAGGAAAGAACATCTAATGATAGGGAAGGAGAAAACAGCATCCACAGAAGCCATCCTGCACCTTAGCCCTCCTTCAGTCAGCGTCTTTCAGATTCACCCTAGGAGGGCTGCATTCACACCTCCCAAACCACCTCCTTCTTTTCATAATGTCCCAGGACTGTTCCAGCACTTCCTGAGGTCTCTCCATGATAGACACTCCTCTACCTTCTCTGCAACACACCACTGTGTGGGTCAGTGCGTCAGGAGAGTGCTGGAAAGTCAAGTTCACTGGAGTCACACTTCATAGATTCTTGTCCTTTATTCAGATTACATGTGGGGTGCCTGCTTGTGCTCTCTTTCTCTCTGACAAAGAAATAAATAAAAATCTTTTTAAAAATGAATTTTGAAAAAACTTTTTTTTTTTTTTTTTTTTTAATGGAAGCCTGGGTGACTTCGTTCGTTAAGCACCCGACTCTTGATTTCAGCTCAGGTCATGATCTCAGGGTCGTGAGTTCAAGCCCCTCATCCCATTCTGTGCTGGTCATGGAGCCTGCTTAAGATTCTCTCTCTTCCTCTGCCTCCCCCCACCACCCCAACAACCGTACTCTCTCTCTAAAACAAAAACAAAAACAAAAACTTTTTTCTTAAGTAGAACACAATTTTCCCACTTAAGATAAAGTGTTGCCTTATGAGCCATTAGATATGTGGACTTGAAAAGTGGAAATTGCACTTTGATATTATGCATGAAAATGATGCCTGAGCAAAGGGGACAAAGTATTTTACTACCTTATGATACAGTTTGGGAAATTTTGGGGGCACATTAAGGCTGAGCATTCTGTGCTATTCTTCTACTTAATATCAGGTGGCCTAGAGTGGGAAGAGGGAGGGGCATAAGACGAGGGGGGAAATATGTCTTACATGGTGGCAAATATGACAGCATACTTCATGAATTCCAAGATGCACCTCTTTTAATATCTCTGAAATCAAAATATGTCTTACAACCAATGATTTTTTAAATTTTTAATTGGTACATTTGTTTTATTTTCTCTTGGCGGGACATAACATAATGGTATTTTACAATCGGAAGTGTCTTAGACTGGCTGAAATATCATTAAGGTCCTGCAATAAGATCAAAATCATGTAAATAAGACCCAAAGACAATTATCTATATTGAAGCAATAACTATCTCGATTGCTACAGTTTGATTGGAAAGGGGGGGGGAGTAGATAGAGGGACACTGGGGAGAAGGTTAACTAGCTAAAAGTTCAATTAGATTATTAAGCATCTACAGAGGGCATCTTCCTAATGGTGAGTTGAAGTTAACATACAGTTTCTGAAAGACTTGATTGCTAAACCAACCTTTTTGATGAAGTGTGCATGCTCTGTAGTCGGTTATAGTTTTCAGTAAAGAGACACATAAGGTCATCCAGGATAAGGCACTCAGTAAAGCACATACTATGGGAACACCATCTTTTCTTGCTCAGAGTTTAATTTTAGCAACGCGCATCGCCTCTCCACGGTAGTAAACAGGCGGCTGCTGCTAGTGTAAAGAGCCCCGTACTAGGAGTTGGTACAGATTCTCTGTACTTGAGAAAGTGACAACTGTTCTGGGTCTCAGCTTTCCCATTTGTGATATGAATATTAGGCTTTGTCAGTGGTTTTCAAACCTTTCAGCTATGTAACCCTTCCTTCGAGTAAAGTATTGTGAGAACATCGAAAATGCAAACCAGATGGAAGCAGAGGCAGAGTTGTTCTGGCTAAGGTGGAAGGGAGTGTAGAACCCCATCTGCTTCCCCCAAACTCTGGGCCATGAGCAGTTCCTTCCAGTGGGAGGGGGGTGCCCAATCTGACAACCGTTGAAAGAGATCATCCTTAAGTAGATGAGCATGGACATGTACTTAAAATGTTCATTCTTCCCATTGTTAGGTTGTCTGTAATTTACTTTCAACTAGCATAGACCACGTGCTATTTTATATGTTCAGTTTGGTTTACACTGCAGCTCTAGAGAATTCTATTGCTCTGAGTGGGAGTTTATCCTCATAGGGTGGTGATGAGGTGGTAAAATATCACCAAGACCACATTCCCACGGTTGCTACTCCAAGTCCTTCTGTTAGTCATCTGTCCACTAACACCTGAGGTTTTGATGTATGAAGAAATGTCAAAAATAATGGCATGAGCATTAGAAATGGCTCTTGTTGGAGAAACTAGAGGAGGTTAGGGTATGCAGATTGGTAAAACTGTTTTGGAGACTATCCTTCTCCCTGCCTCCACCACCAGCCCCCGTACAGAACAGAGTGTAAGAATCTGACAGTGTATAGATTATATCTTCCAAGACAGAGCTTGAGAAGTGATCCCTAAATGGGCCTGTCTCCAGCCATCGATAATGAGGATTTCCAGCTGGGTGCTGCCAGTGAGGGGTACAGAATCCCCACCTGCCTCATGTGAGCCTTTCATGTGAGTTGACAGTCACTTGGAGCACTTACAAGAACAAAAGCCAAGGCTTCCCAGAGCTCACAGACAGACTGCATGGACGGTTTTCTGCCGGCTTGCTAATGAATGTGTGTTTAACAAACGTCCGTCCATGTGGCAGAGTTGGCTTTGAGACTGGAATTCATCTTCACCTGGTGCGAGTTGGGCACAGTAACTACTCCCCTGGCCATCCACCCTACACTACTTTAGCCACCCCAAATCCCGATTCAGCCACAGTCCTACATCCTCACAACAAACTCTTGAGGAAGAAAACAGACTCAGAGAAGTTAGATGTCACACAAAGAGTTTGAGGAAAAGCCAGGATTTCAAATCAGAGCTGCCTGACCTTGGGGACAGACATTTTCACTCTATCAAGCCCTCTCCAAAGCGCTCTTCTTACTTGACCAAAGTGAGCTCCAGTCACTCTGAAATGTCCTAAACTGGCACAAAAATTACAGATTTACACTTTGAGAATGGCTTTGGAAAGGGGGCACATAAAATGGATAATTCCAAAATAGGTGTCAAAGAAAAGTCACATTGAAAAATGAGCCATTAACTCAGTGACTTGATGCTTTTTCATCTTTAAGGCATCACTCAAGAAACCAGGAACCTAAATGGGTTTTTTGACAGCAAATATTGACAGGATCCAAAGCAGCCCAAGAACACGTCAAATATCCAGTCATTAATGTATACCTAAAGGGAGTGTCAGAAGAGTGCTTTGTAAATGATTAGAGACATTTCATTAATATAATCATAGGGTGGTAATATTTGAGTGACAAATTATGGACTAAATTATAGCCATAAGAAAAATTCCTCATAACTTGAATTTATAAAAATATGTAGACCTTAGCTCTCTTTTTTATTCCATGGCCAGAGAATTCTGTCATAGTCTTGTTTTTCACTGACTCACTCTATTTGAATGCAAATAATGCAAATAATGCAATGATTAATTTTTCCATCTGCATATTGGGTATGGTATCTGCTATTCAGAATGGATTTCAAATATAAGGTACGTTTTTATGGAAGAAAATGGAATCAGTCCAGGTCATTGATGTTAGACTTTCTCTGCATTGAGGTGCCTCCTTGTCATTGATGTGATTAGACTTTTTGTGAGTTTGTTTATTCTCTAAGGTTGGACTTCTCTTTATAGACTCTGTGCAAATGCAAAGGAGGCAGGCTTTTGTTTTTTCCTTTTATAACACATTCCCTTGCATTTCTTTTTCCTCCCCAAGTTTTATTCATCTTAGGTATTTTCAAATATGCGCCTGACGCAGCAAAGCCAGCACATCACTTGCCCAGGCTATACATAATTTGTTACATCCTCGAAGTTGGGAATGGAAAAGAATCTACTAGATGATCTTTTGCCAGAACAGGATACAGTTCCCCGATAATGGACCTATCTGATGTGAAATGAATACTACACTTGATCTCACCAGGTGAAGAAAAGTAGAAAGAATTCCCTGTAAGTTAATTCCACTACTCCCTTAATTATTTGTATTGTTCTCCTGCTTGGCTCCAGCCTTTGAGCCCGAGGATTCTGGAAACAATATTCCTTCCACTGCCACTCCTGTGTGACTTACAATGGAGTGACATCTTCTTTCTCCAGTGGGCTGGATCCTGATATGAGCCCGCCACTGGCTACTTTCAATCCTTATCCACTGTGCTTTCCATAGCCAGTGTTCTCTTATCTCTCCCTCCCTGTCCTCCCTGTTGGTGCCCACTATGTCTCTCCTTTTATTGTTGAGGCTTTTGGAGTTTCCTCTCATTGCATATTTGTTTGAGATAACCACCCCCCCACACACACACACTAAATCTATCTTTAGCTTTCAAAGGTCTCCAGCTGCTCCAGCCAGAATCTATAGCCACCACAACCCCCCCACCCCATGCCATCCTCCCAGGCCACAAGCAGAGGAAACCCTACAGGGTTGCATTTTGCCATATTTCTTTCTGCACTTTCCTATTCATAGTGTCCTAGACCTTCTCTGAATAGAGCAGGATATGACATTTTGAGATTTCTAGCATCTTCATAGAAGACTTTCAACAAGAGCTTTCTCAATAGCTGATTAGGAAATGAGATTCTTATTTGATTTCTTAGCCTAAATTAAGATAGACAGATGAAACTAACAACTAAAATATAGTCCAACCTATTTTAAAATATAATTCTGTATCACTAGAATATAACTTCTTTATCTTTAGGGATTCTTGAAATCTGGAAAGGATTCAGAACATATAAAACTTA